ACCACCATGGAATACCAGACAGCCGTTTCGTCAGCCTAGTTTGAGACTCTTCAGTAGTACTCACCCAACACCAGGGTTCGAACTCAGGACCTTCTGGTTGCGAGGCTAGCATGCTTGTAGACCATTAAGCCACTGGAACACGATTCAATGGCTAGCCCATGAATTCTAATTTCTGCCAACTCATCGCGTGACGTACTACTGAAGAGTTCAAAGTTGGGACGACACAGATATCCAGTACTTCCTGCTGGTTTTTCAATTGTTCTCTAATTGATGTCAGCTCTTGATGATGTCCTGCATCCAATCAGACAAAATCCCCACAAAACCAATACTTTACAAACGAAGTTCTAAAAATGCCTCTAGTCGCTGAACCCTTCTCAAAGCCTAGGTCCAGATGGTTTGCCTAGCCTTATTCTTAAAAAAATGTGCAGATATCCCATGTTATCCTCTCATGCACATATTTAATGAATCTTTTTGCAAAAATATCGTGCCAGCCGTTTGGAAATATATTAAAATTGTACCTTTACCAAGGTTGTCTACTTAAGCATGTGTCAGTCAAGTTTAGAGTTATTATTATAATCCTCCTTTTTTGAAAACTATGGAAAAGCTGCTTTTACTTATTCTTGAAACTTCACTTAAAGCCTTTAGCAATTACAAAAATTTTTCTGCAAACATAGTAGAAATACTTTAGATGCAGCTGCATGCAGTCTTTCATCATAACATCGTCTCCGGTTTAGACAAAGGGGCTAGATTTGTTTGTTGCGCCTTCTTAGATTATACATCTACTTTTGACTAGGTATTACCTAGGGATATTTTCTCAAATAAGCTTGCTATAACTCAAACTGAGTTTTGGGTTATCAACTGGATACATTCTTACTTCTCAGGAAGAAAGTAGTACAATGTTACGTCAGGGGAAGTCATCCACTTCATTGCTTAATGTGAAGCTGGCGTACACCAAAGTGCTGTTCTTTCTCCTTTTCTGGTCTCTGTCTTCTTGCTTGACTTGCCTCACTCTGATGACGAAGTGAACTTTGTTAAGTATGCGGACGATCTAACTATTTCAATGTCTGTTAACTCCCAGCTAGACTGTACTAAGATGGAGAGCTTTCTATCAGGAGCTAGCAGATGGTCTTGGTCTAATGGCCTTAAACTTAATCCTTCCAAATTTCAGACTGTTAATTTCAGTTTCCGATGTAAAAGAAAGTTAAATGAAGCTGTTAATTCCTTCGACCGTTGCAAAATTGATGATAGTGATATAGAAGACAATTCTGAATTTAAGTATCTTGGATTAATTCTTTCTTCTGAACAATCCTGGTCTTCCCATGTCTTAGCGATTTCTAAAAGAATATTTCGTCTGACATTTTACATTAAGAAGAAGTTAAGACACTCAGGCATGAGTCAACCCATATTTCTCTTGCATGTTACCTATTCTTCTTTACCATTCACCATTATTCTTTCCTGAGTTGCTTAAAAAAAGACTGTCATACTTCACTGAACTCTGAAGACTGTAGGTAAGTAGGGCAAGTGGTATCCCATTGGGCCATATCGTTGACAGTGTCATTGATAGGTACTTGATGTCATGTAACAAATTTCCCAAGAGAATTTTGTCAGACTGTGAGTGTCTACTTTACTTACCTCCAGATTTCACCTAACATCTCCTCAGGAAGAACAAGAAGTCATTTCAAAAGAATTTATGGGCGCGCGTCCAAGTATAAAAATTCAACTGTACCATATTTCGCGGCATGTTTTATGTGATGAAAATAATGTCAGGCACGAACTAACTAGCTAACTAACTTTCATTCCACTAGTAAATAAACAATCTTGTCCCCCCCCCCACCATGCTATGTCAAGAGAACATTCGATTTAATACTCTATCACATGCTAAAATTTTCATACTGACTGTATCGACAATACTGTCTGAAACAAACCCACTGTTATAATTACTATTAGAGTTATTATTCTCATTTTGTACTTTGCATATTTTTGACATTATTGTTACTGGAAATGTTGACAGATTCCTGTGGTTAATTTTATTTTTTTTACATTTTGAGTAAATTAGATGCAAAATGTTGTAACAAATGATGAAAATTTCATGCTGCATTATAAGCACTGATTTTTGGAATAAAGTTACTGTTACTGCTTATTTATTATTTTATTTCGATACATTCCAAGTGGGACATAAGGTATTTGGTTAAAGCTCTGAGGTTTCAGCAGCAGTGGTGTTCATTTTTACGCGACGGGATTGCTAGCCTCGCTCCCCACCTTCCCTCTTTATGGAGCTTGTTTTGCTATCGGCTTGGCGAAGTTTAGGAAGGCGTCGGTAGCTGAGGACCGAACCACAAACCACTTGAGGCGTGGTTAGCAGGGTTGGTGGCTCGAGTCCACCTGGGGGGCAGGTGTAGGTTAGGGGAGGATTTTTCGCTTATAGGAATATAGCTAAGTGGCATAATGGATGTATTCTAGCCGTTTAAAGATGAATCAATAAAAAGCCTTTAAAATAACAGAATGTAACACTAATTTTGATCAAAGCATTCCTATGACTATGCAGTACAAAACCTTGTAAAGCAGTTGTGAATAACACAGACTACTTGAGGAAATCCAGTTTTTAATTGACCACCATTACTCTTTTTTCTTTCAGAGAGGTAGTGACAACAAAAAGGGGCCAAATTTGTTTTGCCGATTACCTATAATAAATTCAGCTGTCATGATATAATTTCACTTTTATCATTATTATTCCCTTGAGTTCCGAGTGGAACATAGGCCTTCAACAGCATGTTTCCACTTTGTCCCATTCTCTGCGGTTCTCTTCATCAGCTAGCCTCAAGACTGCCCATAGTCTCTCATCACCTCTTCACACGATCTCCTCCATGTCACCTGTTCTGGTTCCACTCGAGCGATGACTTGGTGCTCTATATCATTCGACAGTCTCCTCAGCTTAGTATTTCCGGTATACCTCCACTTTCTTTAGAATATTCTCCGAGAAATAGGTTTTTAATTGGTCCACTGAATTACGGAGTTCCTTGTTTCTAATTCTTCCTAGCCGCTTATTTGATCTTCAGCATGGAGCCAGCGAAGGGGGCAGCTACTGATAAAAGTGTACATCTAGGTGTTGGAATTGCTTTTTAGGACTTGTGTGCCATGTTTTTGACACATATAGAAGAACTGACTGACTCAGTGTTGGTGTTTAAAGTCCGAATCTTGTTCATCACGCTGGCTGATTTAGTGCAGAAGATTTCCAAACTGATTTCAGTGTAATAAAGGTCTGTCTTGTCTCTCCAACCCTAGCTTTGAAATCCTCATCCACTCCGCTGGCTTGTAGCTGAAATGATGCTTCCTAGATAAGTGAAGGAAGTAACCTTTGTCGAATCTTTCCCATTGATGGTGATTGGTGCTGGTTGTTGTTCACTTGTCGTCGGGTATCTTGATCACCTCCCTCCTCTGAATGTTTGCTTGAAGTCCTGTCTCCATTGTCTGCTTCTTCTGTCTCATTGTTGGTTTTGGCCTGTAGATCTCCCAGTTGGTTCGAAATCAGACATAAGTCATCCAAGAAAGGCTAGATATTCTACATTCTCGTTATTCGTCTAACGTATTGCTGTCTACTCGCCTCCCAGTCACAGTCTTCCTCATAATGCAGTCCACCTCAACTAAGAATATCATCGGTAATAGTCAGGCAGCAGCCATGTCTTACCCATGTATTCCCTTAGAAGGCTTTTGTGAATCTTCCGTTGTACATCCGTTGACTGAGGCCGATAAATCTTTGAGGTATTGCTCGCCATAGTGTTGAGATAGTTCCCAAAATACTTCACAGTTAACTCTGTTGAAGGACTTTCCAAAGTCGATGAAATTGAGTTAGACGTAGAGATTTGACTGCCATTCTATGCTTTGTTCAATGATGATGATGATGCGTGGAGTCGCAATTTGACCAGCACATGAGTTGCCTTTCCTGAATCCATCTTGTTCTGGTCGGTGGGGTGGAGTTCTGCATCCAATGCATCTTTTAGTCAGTAACTCTCTAAGTGACATCAGTTCGTGATCTGGCTTTGAATCAATGGGATCCTTGTAAACCAACAATTGAAAGTCTTTAAATTTATTATATACCTACCCACTTCCAGTCCCCATGTGTCAGTCAAATCTGCCCAACTCGTCTATTTCTGCTGTCCATTAATTAACGAATTGTAGAGTCTACTAAACACTTCAGAATAGTGTTGACATAAAGTCGATATACTCGTGCATAAACGTGGTTGTGATGACGATTTCAAAGCCAGCCAGCAATGGACAAGTAGTACAGAAGTTTCAGGATTTCATCATGAGCTGACCAATGTCAACTCATAATGCAATCCTGTAACCAATCGATCAAATCCCAGAAACCAATACTTGAATACAAGGGTTTTTCATTGCGAAATAAGCATGAGGGACTACAGAACAAGTAAGAAGGCCTGATTTGTTTAGACTAATGTCAAGTCAACTAGTGCTTCTATAATGTGGCTCAGATACTTTAAATACGTGTCACCAAGAGCTAATTTCTAACATCCTCTCCCAGTATTTCTTCGACAACCACCTTCTCTGGATGGATGGCTGGTTGGATACTCAAAGTCGGAGAGTCAGCCAGAAAGGATAATCAATAATGCACTCTAGCTGGCAGACGACCAGCCTGCATCCTATTTCAGAAAGTAATGGAGATGGATTGGGGATAGACTGACGAGACTGTTGAGTGACGTCACATACTTGGCAGGTCATTGAGTGAAACTTGAATGTGAAGCAACCAGGTGAGCGTGGATTAGCTGATGACATTGAGGAGATGAAATCTTATGAACAGTAATAGGGCCAAGCGAAAAGGTGACACAGGACAGAATACAATGGAGATATACTCAAAGAATGAGTAACAATATATATGATATTGGTAGCTGCATATCCATGGATACATTTCCCTGACAAGCTATCAAAAATCAATAAATTAACAATAGTAATAATAATAATAATAATCGAAAAGTAATAACACTAACCGGTGCTTTCATGTCCACCGATAAATATGAAATTGTTATATCTTGGATCAATTTTTGCCATATATGAATCCTCATAACTACTGCCAATATACCAGCCGACAATAGCACCGAATGTGATCCATATCAGAACTGTAAATATCTTGGAATTTCGACAATAAATTGTGTGAGTAGTGAAAATTACTGTAGGGAGAAACATAAAAGGATACAAATAAAAATATATATTTTGAAAGATAAAGTGGTTAGTTGGTTGAATTAGTGTGTGTATGCACAACCAAGAGCTGACATCAGTTAGAAAACCAACAAGGAGTACTGTATAACTGTTACACTCTATTTTGGAAATCTTCAGCGGTACAAACCCCCAGGGGTCCCAGCCTAGGACTCTCGGCTTACCGGGTGAGTTTGTAAGCCATTCAGCCACTGGAACCCGATCCAGTGGCCAGTTCATGAATTCCAACTTGTGCCAATTCGCCAAATATATATTTTGTGAAATTTGATAGCATAGAATTTAACGTTGTAAAAAGAATTGATTTAGAATGACAATTGGAACAAGTGAAATAATACCGGGGACAGTTCAGAGTGAGAGTTATAATAGTAACAGTTGACGTAATAAGGAAGAGAATGGTCAGCTGACAAATTTCTACAGCTGGGTACCCATTGGTCGAAAACGAAACCTGGTCCGGTCGCTTGCCACTCGCATTCGGCGCAATATATATCCCTGATATTGTGGAAGATGAGTTATACCTTTTGAGGAAAATCCTAGTAGAAAATGGATTTCCACCACGTTTTATATACAAGAATATACATTCAAATCCTAAAAAAGTGACTTAACAACCGTACCCAAGAAGATACTTTACATGAGCTTGGAATTCAAAGGGGACTACTTAGCTTCCGATATCATGAAACGAAGGATATCACAGTCCCTGAAAAGAACATTCCCTGCTTCATCTCTCAAATAGCCTTTACTAGTCGACCATTATTGTTCAATAACCTGAAGGACAAGATACCGCTGTTGACCAACTATATGTATGTTTGTCAATTCATCTGCTCGTGTGGAGCTAGGTATATCGGTCGTTCGACACGAGTTTTGTCCGAGAGGGTGCAAGAACACTATCCTGCACGGTTACGAAAAGGTGGAAGTGGAGCAATAAGAAGCGCGATCATTGAACATCTGGTCGACAATGATCACCCTATCTCTATAGCCTCCGCCTTCAAAGTCACCTACAAAGCAAAGAGCAATTTACCCAAATCCCTACGTACCCAACTCATCTGTATTGCTGAAGCTTTGGCTATCGAAACAGAAAAGCCAGATCTCTGTGTACAGAAAAGGTTCGTTCAACCCCTCTAACTTCCATGGTCTTAATCCCTTTATGCTAAAGTATGGTAATCCCCAATCATATTTTAGCTTTGCCAATTTTTCATTTTGTCTATTCACTTTGTATACTTTTCCTCATTACGTCAATTGTTACTATTACTATTCTCACTTTGAACTGTCCCCGGTATTATTTCACTTGTTCCAATTGTCATTCTAAATCAATTCTTTTTACAACGTAAAATTCTATGCTACCAAATTTCACGCAGTATTACCTTAAGTTTTTATTTCATTCGATTTGTCTACAAATATATATATATATATATTTATCACAAGCGTCAGTCGGTGTCACCATAAAGTATCTCTAATCTGGCTTAGTGAACGTCACTGCCGATCATCATTTCTCATAGCAACTCCAGGTAACTTTCTGTGTAGAATCAGCCGCTAGTGAGCATCAAATCAATTGATTTGATTGGTAACAGGTTTGGTCACCAGCTGATATCAGTTTTCATCACCTTCAATAAATCAGTCGCCTAGTTCACCTCATAGATTCTCTACAAAACATTGAAATCATTTCACCATGTGATAGGTTGGCAGACTGTTAATGGTAATAACTGAAGGTGTGAAATAGAAAATGTGGGTTCAAACCAGAATCCCTGAGGACTACTAGTCCAGCTATTTACTAACTAATGTACTGGAAGATCCAGCAGCCTACCAGTCGGGTCACTGAACAATCAATACCGATGCTGCTGAACTGTCTATCCTGTAAATGAATGAGAAATTGTGATCGATCAGGTTCATTTCATCATATACGAAGTGAAGCAGTAGTTTGCTGTCATGATATAAAAGGAGCTTACAAAAGTTAGGATTTCACAGGTCATCTATTGAATAGCCAATGAAAAAGGCACAAACAGCGAAGAAAATTTTCTTTTCGACGATTCATTTTCATGAGCTGTACAATCGTAATTATAATTAACAAAGAAATCTTTAGACCAATCAGATACTGGTAAATTTGCCACTGGTAAATACTGCCACTTCAATGTGTGTTTATCAATTTACTTGCTCGTGTGGAGCAAAGTACATCGGCCGTACGTCAAGTCCACAAACGTACTCTGGAACACTGCCCAGCTTGGTTATCTAGAGGAGAAAAGAAGAATAGCAACAGCTCGATCCTCGAACACCTTGTTATCTCTGGACATCTAGCACCCCCACATGAATGCTTCACAGTGTTACATAGAGTCCCTCAATATCGTACAAAGGGACTTCGGATACGCCATCTGTACACAGCTGAAGCATTAGCTATTCGAGATCTGAAACCGGACCTCTGCATCCAAAAGCGATACACACATTCTCTTGCCCTACCACGGCCAGAGTAAAGTTCTTACCACAATTTTGCTTCTTACCTTTATTATGTAAGTTCCCTATTATTATTATTATATTTTATTAATACTTTTCTTATCATTATTATTCCCATCATCCACATTTTATTACCACTCTATTACTGTTTATTAATAACATTGCTTTTCATACATATTTTATACAAAAGCACTATAGCCTTTCCAATAGTTCCTGTCCATTTTACATGAGATTATTGATTATTCATTATCTCACGCTTATTACGTCATACCCACTTCTGTCTCCTTTCTAACTTACAATTAGTCATCCCTTCTTACATCTTACATTATGTAATACAATTTTCCAAGGACAAAATTTACCAGTATCTGATTGGTCTAAAGATTTCTTTGTTAATTATAATTACGATTGTACAGCTCATGAAAATGAATCGTCGAAAAGAAAATTTTCTTCGCTGTTTGTGCCTTTTTCTTATGACTCAATATAGGAATATTTCGTTCATTGAATAGCCAATGGCCTGGTCCCGTGAGCTGAAAGTCCTACAATAGGTCCATGGTGGGGTTGTAAGTATACGCTGCTGAAGAGAATTAATAACACAATGTGCGTCGGTGGTACAGAGATTAGGACTCTCGCTGACCATGCACATGGTTCGAGGTTCGATACCCCGCCGACGCAAACTTGATATCTATGGTCGGCCTGCTAAATTTTGGCTACCGATATCACATGCTGAAAATTTCATACTTGCACGAAAATACTGTGTGGAATCAAGCTATAATAAAATTTAAAAAAATAAAAAAAATAATTTAGAGATCGTTCGTTTTGAATCCTGTCGAGAAATCCGAATCTTTAACTCACACCTTGAATCCTTACTCATTTAATTACTTTTACAAGGATATTTATGAACATTTAGAGGTCGAAAAGAGATTGTACTTACAGTTATTCATGATTTTGTTAACAAGATCGCTCCTCACGAGGATATGTCCTTGAAATAATGATGTTTCTTGATAGATGGATGAATTCAGTTTTGGTCTAATTCATTAGTATATGTATATAAGTAGTATGTGTTTAAGTATTTTTGAGAAAGAATACTAGAGAATTGGATAATTATTCATCACATTACTTCTTTAATCGATTGATATGCCTGTCTGTCTGTCTATCTCTATCTATCTGTCTATCTAATAACACCTCGACTCCATGCTTACACGCTCATTAACACACGCACATTTTAACACGGTTACTATGTTTTTGCCTTATTCCCAATACTACTAATATTAGTTGTTGTAACAGTAGTATGTTACGTACTGGTTAATTTCACATAGTGATCTGATTGGCAGTTGAGCTTCAATATGTCTGAATTGTATTCCTATTGGTTAGAGATTTATTTAAGATTGTGTGGGTGGTTTATTTAAGAACCAATCAGTGTTGCAATTTAATTAAGGCGTCATTCAGGTTTCAGCTTATATTGTTATGTCAAACTTTGAGGAATAACTTGATGACATGATAACCAACAAGAACTGGAAAGCTGTCCTGTCGTAGATTAAGACTCTTCACTCTAAGACTCCAGGGTCCTCCTATAGATGTTAATTCATTTCAAAATAGATTATGTGACGAACTGACAAATTGGTTAGAGAAATATGATCCAGGAGACTATAGCCACCCAAACGAAGTACTGTCGTAATGACCTTGATCGGTCAGTCAGATGAAACCAAAGTAAATATGCTGAAATATCGATGCAGTACACGAACTGTGGAGAACTCAGTGAATTTCACCAACGATGATACTCCTAGTTGTGGTGGACTGGATTAGATGGCATGCCGTGCATGGGGAGCGAGAAGATAGGAATACACTAGACCAGCGATAAGAAGACCCTCGAAGATCTGGATTTCGCATGTGGATGATTTATGTTTAGTGTCACACAAACTGGAAGACTTACAGACGAAAACTAACAAACTGACAGAAGAGGCTGGCAGGCAGCAAACAGAAGATTCCAGGTGAACATAGAGAAGACGGTGGTGATGAAGATAGCCAACGAACAGCAATAACAATCGACACCAATCACCATCAACTAGAGAAATTTGACAAAGGTTACCTCCTTCATTTCTCTGGCTAGGAAGCATGGTTTCAACCACAGGCGCAAGGCACGGATGGAGGTGTCAAAACCAACCAACCAGAATTAGAAAGGCAAGATATGCCTTCATCAGCCTTGAACCAGTTTGGAAGTCTTCTCCACTTCGCGTCAGTGGCATAAACAACAAGATTCGAATTCTGTTCAACGTAAATGTCAAGTCAGTCAGTCAGTTGGTGCTTCTATACGGGCCAGAAACTTGCAGTGCGTGTCACAAAAGGGATTTCCAAAAGGCGACTGCAGAATTTTGTCAACAGGTGCCCAATCCGCTGGCTGGCTCCATACTGAAGATCAAAATAGTCAGGCAGCAGGCCAGCCAGAAAGAATTAGCACCAAGAATCTCCGGGGATGAACCAACAGGCGAGAGCCGATTGATCAACAAAGGCATACGTAGGAGAAAATGGAGATGGATTGATCGGATATACATGAAGGCCGTCAAATGACACCGAGCTGAATGGAGGCCATTGCTATAGTGAAATTCCAGTAGAAAGCAACGAGTGGGTCATTGGTGCTAGTGTGACATGGAAGCGATCGTGTGACTTGGAGGAGGAGATGAGAGATCGTGGTGATAGCCATTTGAAGAGGAGGGCAGAGAATAGCAGAAAGTTGAGATGTGTTGTTGAAGCATAATGTTCCACTCAGAACCTAAGGTATTAATTAATATAATATTAATAAATGTATTAAACCTGAGTTATACAGGGTACATATCTCTAATATGCTGCAAAAATGCATCTATGTGACTGTATAGCATGTCACATCGGGAAGCATTTACCATTCTAATACGTTTTTATTAGACGGGCCCAGAATTCTTCAATAGAATGTGTATGAGTTCCACTTATAAGATTCACCAATTCAGAAGAATGATTGACTTTATGATGAATACAGCCTAATGACGAGAGTTGCGAATAACCATTCCACTACTCTGTATGAGTGGTAGTGCCTGTGAGGACTGGTTGTTATGTTATTGGTATTCAAAAGATCGGCACTTCTTTTCGGGATGCGTTCTACCGAGCCTTCTTCAAAGATTCATATCATACAGTCCAAGCATCCGAACATGGTTTGCTCTTCTCTTAATGAGATTCATTTCATCGTCAGTATGAACGATGACACCAATTCCTCCAAGTACGCAAGTAATTCCACAGATCTTTTGTGAGGCCACATCCTGACAGTGCTGATACCACGCTGTACTGTTGACATTTTAGTATTTTCTGTTTCCGCATCTGTAGCGACTACTGGTCATTTCAGTAGCCAGTTGTGGCATGTTCACAATATTTTAGTAAGGCAGAGTTTCCATTTCTAGAAGAAAGTATCTAAAAATCACCATAGTGTACAACTTACCAACTCCTACAGATTTCCTAATATAACCGTGATTGCTTTTGAATGCATAACCGTCATCAGTAGCCCGACAGTACTTCTGAAGAGTAATTACCCCACGCCCATATATGCTTATTTAAGTCCACCCTATCAACTCATTTTCCATTCAGGGGTCAGAAACCCAATCTGAATGAAAACTGCAACGAAGATTATGCGGACGGCATCCATTTGTAATGATGAGCGACTTGATTAGCTGGTTCAAGGTCATTTGACTTCGATGTCTATTCTTTACTGTTGCCGTATTCTATTCCTAATATATATGGATAAAACTTAGACACTGTGGTAGAGTATAGTTCGATTATGGGTAAAATTTATTTTGAAAAAGTTTCACAGTGTGTTATGCAGCAATATTTACTGATGACCACGTTTCGAGCACAATTTATTACTGCCCATCGTCATCATATCAAGTCACTCGCTCACACAACTTTCCAACTTCGTTTATATGGTTCCACAATTTCTCATCTCTTGATTTGACTGATAATAATATTTCCCATATCTCTGGTATTAGTGATGAGTCATTCCTGTTGCACGTGCTGGGTGTAGACTCGATGAATCAGGATTCAGTAATCAACCTCTATCTCTCTTCACTTACCTATATTACTTTCTAGAATTTCAACCCTCTCCCACCAACCCTATTGTATGGTTGTGTGTTAATGCATGTAGTGCAATTGCTGAGTGCTTTTTTTCTAAATTACTTATTATCGCGGGTGGGATCAATCATTCTAACCTTAGATAAATTCTTATGTTCTGATAATCTGACTACCCTCGACCTACTATTTTGACCTATGTAGTTGACTTAACTCACAGTCATTGCAAGGTATTTTGCAAATTATATTATTTTGTTTAATTGGGTCCACCGAGTCTTTTAGCCTACAGAACTTGTCCCTGTCTGAATGAGTTTGTAGGTTTGAATACCACCCTAATTCCTGCTTTATTGAAAATTCTACGTTGGGTCTCAAATGTCCCCTTCTTATATGGTATAACTGTAGATGACTTATATTCTCTCTTATTTATGTTATCACTACTAATTTCATAATTATTTTTATTTTACTTTTGGTCTTTTTCGATCTTCCTAATGAATTTTATGGGGTAGTTATTTAACACCAAGCAGCTATTCTTCTGTTTGTTTCATTTCATAATTTGGGTCTTTTTTGTGCTACTTAGTGCTACTGCTCGGTTCGCTAAACACTTAACTAAGCCTGTCTTTATAGACAGATGACGGATGAGATGAATTAAAGTCTAAATATCTATTAGAATGAGTTGGCTTTTTATAAACGCTAGTGTGCAGTTTACGTTCTTCTGTTCGTTTTATTTTACAATCTAACATCTCAGCTAATCCTACTTATTCATTTTCCGATTCAAATGGGAATTTTATTCCCCCTTACTAGTGAATTTATCTCCTCGAAACGTGGTCATCAGTAAATATTACTGCATAACACTGTGTAACTTTATCAAAATAAATTTTATCCATATTCTGTTCATTGGATTACATAAGTTTCTGTGTCATCCATCGTTTTGTCTATAATGAATAAACTTCTAATTAAGTCTCCAGCTAAATTCTCAACATGTGAAGTACCTCCTTGAAATGAAATTTATTAATGGACAATAAGAAATTAGTGTTTGAAGTATAATTACATAAAGTATCAATTATATCTGCAACAATGAAACCCTTTTTGTTAAAGAAAGAAAGAAAGAACATGAAGGAAGAAAATGATTTTAGATGGTTGGAGGCGATTGGTCAAGTCAGTCACTTCTTCTTCTGTATGGGTTAGAAACTCTGGACCAGGATCACGGAAAGCATTTCTAAAGTGCTGCTGCATATTTTTTCAGCAGCTGCCACCTTCGCTGGTTCCATACTGAAGATCGCATGACCGGCATTTTTTATTCCTTTACTTTCCCAGTGGAACATGGGATGGCTTCAAGTGAGAGGCTTGCAGTTTTGGGTAGCAGTGGTGTTTATTTTTGCGGGATGGGGTTGCTAGCCTCATGTTAAACCTTCCCTCTTTACCATTTTTATTACTGGCTTAGTGAGTTAAAGGAGTGTGTCTGTGGCCGGGGACCGAACCCCGGACCACATAGGGTGTGGTCGGGGAGCATTCTACCACTGTGCCACCAACGCACAAGTCCAGCTAGTGAGAATGAATCAGCAACAAGAAAGTGTGTCTGACTGGCAACCGACCAAGAACCTACTGCTCAAAAAACATGCCGAAGAAAGTGGAAATGGACCGGACACACGTCGAGAAGACCAGTGGATGACATCACGCACCAGGCAATCTCTCGAGTTGAACCACAAAAGGAAACAACAAGTCAGACTGGGATCTGAGAGTGACATGAAGGCGATCATGTGGCCAGGAGATGAAAATCGATCGACAGTCGTGGAGCTACCTGATGAAGAGGATCGCAGAGAATAGGATGAATTGAAGATGTGCTGTTGAAGCGGTATATTCCCCTGAGAATCCAAGTGAACAAAAATGCTATCAAACCTCAGAGTGTTAAGCCAGTGAACAACTAATTATATTGGTGCATAAGGTCATACTTTTGGTTTGTCCAATCTCAATGCAATACAAATATTGTATCCCACCTCAGTGGTTGGTTTCACTTGTCCATTTTGTTTTAAGCTGTTCTAAACATATTTAGCTGTCTTTTTACGCTTCGTGAACGTTTATTAGCAATGAGGCGAATGCAGTGACCTCTTAATTCCCTCAGAAAATTATTTACAGTCACTTTTTCTCCTAGTTTGTCACACAAAT